CGATTCTTAACGCTAATGAATTTAAAACGCCCAAAGTGAAGAGAGCGTCTACGTATTAATTAAACTATTTTTCTAACTGTACTCGAGTGGGGTTGGTGGTGGCGGCGGTGGTGGGGCGAGCGACACAGGGGGCGGGGGGGGGGCAAAGAGAGAGAAAGAGCTTAAAATACCGTAAATGCGCGTCGGGAATTATGTTGAGAAGAGCTGGAGAAAAAAAATGGCCGGCCTGGACAGATACAGTTTTTTGACATTTACAGATTTCTATATAAGAATGCAGTTTTTGTTCAATTGCTCAAGGCCTATATTACAAATACAAATAATTTATCAGTATTATTTGGTAAATAAATAATGTAAAATATCAATGAACCCGAGACCCGATTAACGCGCAAATAATGACAAATCGACGGTCTTTAGTTAAAAAAAACTATTTTATTATTTAATTTTTTTAATTCGTTTAACTTCTAAGCATAATAAGCATTTTATAATAATATTTAGTAATAATATCTTTCGAAATTTCATTTCAATGTGTTTGTGTGAGCAAACATTTCACTCTATTGGTATATTTCCACTTCAACATTTATCCACCATTATTTTCATGTTTAATTTGTAAAATTAATAAAATTAATAAAAGGAATTCATAAAGTGCAATAATTTTTCGATTGATGCACGAAAGCAGCGTTTAAAAGTGTAAAATAAAGCCAGTGAATAAGCGTGCGACTTTCAAAAGTAAATTGCACGTCGCATTTCTACCTTTCAAATAAACGCTCTAAGCTAATTAACAATTGTTCACGAAAGCGAAGCTTGATAGGATCGAAAAATCTTAAATTTGGAGGGGGTGGAGACGTTTAATTAGCATTAAATAAGAACGAAAGTTGGTAAATAAATGTAGGAGTAAAAATAATTAATTATTCCTGCGAATCGTATATTTTTTCATGTAACTATTTTATCGGTCAATTTTTTACTTTCCTCTTTGTATTTCCTTTTTTTTTTTTTTTTTTAAGCCACACTGACCATTATTAGTGCAGTATAAGAAAAAACACGGTTAGGTGAGATCGTTAAATAAAAAAAAAAAAAAATCTGCCACCAATTGTTAAATTAACACGCATACTGAGTATTATTACGTATATCGCGACTGATTGGCATTATTTTGGTAAGATTGTGTTTGTAGTGTCTTCTTTATTTAAAGTGCGTTTATAAAAACTTAAGCGTTTATAAATAACCTAAGCTTTCACTTTCTTATTCTTCTCGAAATAACGCGTATTAAATACAAGCATCTTATTGGCATTTAAGAAAGAAAAAAAAGAAAAGAAAAAAAAAATTCTTTGATTAGCATCTCATATTTCTCGTGCTGAAAATACCGATTATAACGAAGGCGAATGCTTGCAAAGCTCGAGTATCAATTTATTAATTTCGCAAATTACCGACTGGGATCCCATCATTATCGACCATTGACCAGGTAACGTCCGTTCAATTTTGAAAATGTAAATAAATAATCACCTTATCGCGAACGATCGATTAACGTGTGCGCAAAATTTCCTAATATTGGGGCATAAAGTGATAACGATCGATTGTAAAGAAAAGTGCATCTGCTTTATGAAATCGAAGAGCGATGAAAATTGTTGATTACCCGTCCATATTCATTGTCTCTCTAAATGTCCGCGTCATGTTATCGATAATTTATATAACACAGCAGGGTAGGGTGGGGGAGGGGGAATGTTTTGCCTGCACAAGTTTTCAGTGATAGCGGCATTGGTCTCGTTCCCTATACTTTCACGCGACAATGATACTTTTTCTTAAGAATGCACATGGAACACGACCAAACCCCTTCTCTCCTCCCCTCCCCTCCCCCTCCATCACTCTCCGTCCCGCTAAAGGCCGTCAAACGCCATTACTTATCTGTATTTTCCTTTTTACCGATTAGCGCGCGTTGTATCGTTCATCCCTATCTATGACTTGTTCTTCCATGTTTACAGTTTGGTAATTCTATTTTCTTTTCCCATTTACACACAATGAAATTTCGTCCCTCGAAGCGACAGTGAGTGTGCAGTAGTATTACGTCTTAGTGGCGATGTGGCAAACGTTTGAGGAGCGGGGGGGTGTGGGGTGTGACGAAGGAGATTATGATGCATTCCCAATAGTAAATAAGTTGTGCGAACGTCAACGTGTACAAATATTTATACAGAGTATGCATCACCGCCGACTTTGCATCGATACGCGCACAAACGCTCATTGCAAATCGTTCCAATGCAATTTTATTTATCGGCCTATTATTTCCAAAGGCAAACACTATCAATGAATTTTTAAATAAAAGCTAATGCAACAAAACACATTCGTATTCAATGCTTATGAATTGGCGTACAACTAAGTTGCGATATTGTGAAAAACGTCCTGACTGCTTGGGAGAATAAATTTCCTCCGCAACTGGACAAAAGGGCGACGGAGGGCAGAGAGTAAAGCGTACGCGTTTCAACATCGAGCCTTGAACTTTGTTATCCTTGTAATTCATAAAATCTCCGGCACGCGCCGTAGAGCAAGACTGCAACAAATGCAAAGTACTGGAGTCGATGTATATCTTATTGGGGACGCAGCCTTAAGAATGCCGTGGCGGTGGTGTTACATGTTGCCAGGGAAACGCGTTGCCTGGCAACAGCATCTCGTCGTAGTTGGCGCTTTATGGCTGACGACGACGACGACGACGTCCAAGAGGTCGGCGAGGAGAAGGACGGAGAAGCCGCGTAATAACGCTGGCAAGTTTTAGTTGTTCGCGGGACTCGAGGCTCGTCGTTAGGCTCGTTGTTGGTCTCGTTGTTGCTTAATCGCGTTGTTGACCTTAGAGCCGTACGATTCGGCGGGAAATGAAAAAAATGTTTATCGCGCATTAGTTTGCGATGCATACATGTGAGTTATGTGGGGATGTCGCTTGTAATATGTGCGTACGCGTGTTTTTATAGAACGAGAGAAAGTTTAGAAGCCCAGCGATTTGTACGCGAAAAAGTGTCGCGAGTTGTATTGGCATTTTAACGTAAATTCAAGTACAGTTGTGCTGCTATTGTTTTCGCAATGTAAATAAATATATAAATCATTATACGTTTTATGTTGCCGTGTCGTAAGAATTTAACGATATTTACTTACTTTCGACTCGACGCATCCCAGTCGCTCTAATAGAATTTTATAGTATCGTTGAGTATTCTGTAGACAACTTTTTTGCAGGTTATGTAAATAAACGTTTGGTAAAGTGGAGCAAGAGCAAAACAATTTACTACTTGAACGTCGAAGTCTCGATAATCCTTTATAATTGAAATTCCTATGCAAATTTTCGACAAATGTGTGCTTGCATGTTTTTTTATCTTGAACGATTATTGTTATTTGAATATAATATAATATATTGTGATTATATAAAAAAATAAAAAATAAATAAAAAAATGAAAAAAAAGCTTAACCACAATTGTTAAATTAGAAGCTCGTGAATAATCGAAACTGTCCTTATATAAGTTTATCGCCGGATAAATCACTGGTATTAGACGGTGAAATAAAAATTTCTCGTTTTACGCCATATTTTTCCTAAATTGGGCTACACTGTATTTTATTCTGATCAAACGACGCGCATACGCGATAGTTTTGAAAATTTTCAATTCGGCAATTCAGCCTCGTTTTAACATTACAAATTTGAAAATCTTGTTCATGTAGAATTCGAAAATCGTTTCTAAAAATTACTCCAGTTTGCCGCCGATTTCGTTAATTCCATAAATAATGTCGTTTGACGACAAATAAAATAAGACATTATAGTTACATGACAAAATCGAGACGTATTCGTGTTCCAAAAGATTTTCAATACAGTAAACTGAGTATGTAAAATTAAGTAGATACATTAAAAAAAAAAAAATAAATAAATAAATAATACAACGGATTATTAACATTTCAAAATAAAAAGAATTATATGAAATTCATGTGAATAAACATTGACTTCATTCTCGTATGTATAAGCAAATATTTTTAAAAGTGGCATAACGAATGCCTATCGCTTGTTTAATCAAACAAAAATTAAAAAAATCCTACTATTAAATAAAAGATAAAATCATCGGTTGCACAATAATTTCGGATTTATCACGGACATATGTAGAAGACAACGGAAAAGAAAAGAAAATAGAAATAATAATAATAATAGTAGTAATAATAATAATAATAATAATAATAATATAAATAATAATAATAATAATAATAATAATAATAATAATAATAATAAAGGCTCAAGAGCGTATCATTTATAATAAATGGTGAAAATGTTATTGGCGTTCCTTGCCTTTCACAGCGTTGAAAACACGTCGACGAACTCAAACTATTTTCGGAAAGGGATCACCGCGAGTTCCTTCCTTTTTATTTTCGCGGTAGCCACAAAGATAGGGAACGTTGAAATTAGACTCGCGGATGAGTCGCGCTGGAAAATATATATCAACTATCTTGCATTGATTCTTTTTTTCGTGACGCTTAATTCTGCGCCTAAGGATCTTCCTAAGCGTTAATTTAATTACTCTCTAGGCTTTTTGGAGAAATTTTCGAGATAAACATAGCGAAGCTTAACTGTAGCTATAAATACTTTGTTTTATATTATTTATTGAAATAAAAAGAAAACAAAACAAGAATTATATAATTTATAGATGGTTTTATAAATAAGTGTTTCACATTTTTACTTTCTGCGCATAGTATTTCTATTATTCTAACGGTTGCATATTTCAATAATCGCGCATAAATTCAGAAGCGAAATATAAAATCTTTCAAGTTTTTGATATCGTAATTTTATTAGATATTTTAACATTGAAATTGAAATATTCTTTTATCAACAAAGGACGTGTTCATAAACATACATTATCACTCCAATAAAATTAATACTCTAATAATAATACTAATAATATTATTATTATTATTGTCGTCGTCGTCGTCGTCGACGTCGTCGTCATCGTTGTTGTTGTTATTATTATTGTTGTTGTTGTTGTTGTTGTTGTTGTTGTTGTTGTTGTTGTTGTTGTTGTTGATATTCTTAACGTTACTAGCCTGAAAGCTGCAGATTTTGTAAATACTCTACCGCATTACAGAATCGAGATATTTTTCCACTCTGATTTAGGTAAAAGCTTCCATTGAACGATCGTTTCGTCGAAAGAATCAAGTTGCTATTTTCGCCTTTTTAGCAAATACTAAAAAGTCGGTTTTTGCCGAGCGAATGTAATTGCAAGTCATGTGACTCTCTTAACAAAGTAGAGAAATCGTCTAGGAAAAAGGCGCGAGATTAGAGGATTATAAGAGTTGCTGGACTTTTCAGTGACTGGAGCATCGATACCGGCGATTCGGAGAACATGGCACCCGACAGGCCGGACCCATCCGAAGTGGAAGCCGGAGGTCCGATCGTGACGCGCGTGTTCGGCTTCTGCGACGCGTATAATATCAAGGAGGGTGACAACGCGAGCAGCCATCATGAACATTACATCGAGGACACGACCCTCACCGCGGACGAGGTTGTCATCGAAGAGGAGGAGGAGGAGGTGCCGATGATCAAGCCCGAGCCCTGCGACGATAAGAGCAGCAACCACTCGGACGACGACCTCACCAGCCTCAGCTGGCTGCACCAGCAGAACCTTCTCAAGGGTCTCGAGATCACCGAGCATCCCGTCAAGGTCATCAAGGACGAGAATGTGCTGAATAACAACGTGGTATGCGAGGACAGTCTCGACATTTCCGAAAACACGAATTCGGTGTCTAGTCTCGATGAGAGCTACTCCCCAGGTAATCGACTTCTTTAATTACTACAGCTCACCCGCTCTTCCTTCAATTCACCAGAATTGCTATATTTATTAATTATTTTAATCGTCTGTGCTCAAGGCCGGATGGTCATTGTGTGTGTGTGTGTGTTTTTTTTTTTTTTTTTAACAAAATATACATAAATTATGATTTGAGAAGGTAAAGAACGCAGCAGCTTGCAAATAATTAATTATATTATATTTCGCAATTTAATATGCTATATTGAAGTATATATTTGACTACATATACAAATATTTTATCATATAACGAGTATTACCTAATTAATAATAATAATAATAATAATAAAGACAAAAAAATTACTCTATACAATCAGGTGTGTAAACTTTTGGATAAATTTCAATTTAAAGCCGATTATTCTTATTATCAATAAGTTGTGCGTGATTTGTAAATTTCGAGTGCATGTGCAATTAATCAATTTTGTTTGTAATAGAAAGCAATGGAAAAAATAGCTTAGGCCCAACGCCGGTGCTACACTATCATGACCTCGTAATCAATGGTAAATCTCTATCCAAGAATACGCAAGATAATATCAAATTTCCAAACAATACAGCACAAAGTAATCAAATCAAATATAACAACAACAACAACAACAACAACAATAACAACAATAATAATAATAATAACAACAACAACAACAACAACAGCAGCAGCAGCAACAATAATAATAATAACAACAGCAACAATAGCGCCAACTTCAATCTACCAGTTCCGAACCGCAACAAGCATCCAACTCACATACCCTACGATCCATATCTGCACAAAAACAGTAAGCCACCGTACTCGTTCTCTTGCTTGATATTTATGGCGATCGAGGACAGTCCGGTTAAAGCCTTGCCGGTCAAGGAGGTGTACGCCTGGATACTCGAGCATTTCCCGTACTTTAGGAACGCACCTACCGGATGGAAGAACTCCGTCAGACACAACCTCAGCCTGAACAAATGCTTTCGCAAGGTCGAGAAGTCGCCAGTGAGTTATTCTGAAGATGCGATGTTATTTATTTAATTTGAGGACTTCTCTCTCTCTCTCTCTCTCTCTCTCTCTCTCTATCTCTCACTCTTTTTAAAAATCTTTTTAAACAAACTCAGATATGGAGTTATCTACTTCGTATCCTATGTTTAATTTGCATATAACGATACATGTATCTTTCATTGTATAATTAATTGAACCTATAATTTTTTTTTGCTTGTTTTTTGTTTGTTTTTTTTTTAAGACTTGGCAATTGAAAAAATTGCAATTTGTTACTCTTCTTTTGCACACTTTTAGTGATTTGAACGAAACTATTTATATTATTGAAAGGAATAAAAACTTGTTCGATATAAGTATTATTGCATTCTTTAAATGACAATCATTTATAAATATGAAATTAATGTGTAATAAATTTCAAAAACAACATGGTAACTTTTTCTAAAATTTGTTGATAATTGTAACTACTAAATATTTGAATAAACTGAAAGTATACTAATACATTCATTCTTATTGTTCATTATTGTTAGTACTACTATTTACTATAGTACTATTAGTTATTATAATAATTATTATTATTATTCTGATGATTATGACCAAACATTATAATTTTAAATATTTTATAATGTTGTACTGTTTTGTACAAATAACACTTCAAGAGTATTATGATTTTAAACTTATAGTTACTTAGTTTCTCTACGGTATTATTACAGTGAATTACTAAATCATTTTTACAATGTTATTTATCATTTATAATATTTTATTTATTATATGTATTATAATATTACAATAATGCAAATTATAATTCTTTGATTTCGTTATTGTCAAATATACTATTTATATAGCATCGATTGTACTACGTGAAAGTAAAGCGGCAACAAATTATTTGAAATGAAATTGTATTGAATATTTTCTTTCAATGATCTATTACATGTATATGTATACATTTAGCAATAGAGAGAGAGAGAGAGAGAGAGAGAGAGAGAGAGAAAATGTATATTTCTTATACGTAAATATATTATTATATAATCAGAGAAAGACTCGAGTATATATTATATGGATAAACTATAGTTTATAATCGTTAATATTTTATGAAAACATTGATTAAATTAAATCTCCCGAATTTATGGTGGAATATAACGATAAAAAATTATTGAGGAAAGTTTTTATTTTACGTGACGTTCATTTGCATTTAATGTATCTAATGAATTATAATTCGTATACGTGTGTTATTGATAAACAAAATAGTTTAGATTAAAAATGAATGATTGTCGGTAAAGTAGAAGCCGGTCGGTAACATGCGTTTGAAAAGAAGTAGTCGATTATTTAAAAATTCATACATCATTGCTTTATTAATTTTCAGAATTTGGGTAAAGGCTCGTTATGGATGGTAGACGCCCAGTACCGGCCGAATTTAATACAAGCCCTATCACGCTCGCCCTTTCCTCCACCTACGGCCACAAACATTTCGACGCCAGAGAAAATAGCACGAAAAGTTGTAAATAATCGACTTCCTGATCCCGTACTCTTTCCTTATTTATCCAGAAGGCTTGCTTCAAGTAATATCGGTGAAAACTCCGAAGCCGAATTCGACAGCGACGTAGACGCAGCAGCTGCTGCAATGCTGTCATTCAAGCATGGACCTATTATTCTCAATCACAACAAAGGTAAAGAAATTTAAAACTTTCGCTAATTGAAAACAGCATTGAAGTTCAGTTTTGATTAACAAAAACAGATTTCAATCAATTTGAAAACTATACTTGCCGATAATTAATATTGGAAATTAAATAAATGTCATATATAATAAAAGACGAGATACATAATTTAAAAATAACGAGATTTTTTATTATTATCCTATAAGTCGATGAATTATTAAATCGTATAAATGTAATTTTCCTCAATTCAATATTGTTTTATAGAAAATTATCATTGATAATTCATAGTTATAATTATTTATTTTATTTTATTCTTTTACGTAAATTTATGAACATTTTTTATATTTTAGATCGCAAAAAGAAACAACAAAATGATAAGATGGTTCCAGTCATAACTAGGAGTTCTACCGAAGATCATACTTATAGTTTAATTACGTCAGTACGGCTAGAAAGGTGTGTATAATGAAATTATTAATGTTATAATGAAATAATTTCCTACCATATGAATTTATTTTGAGATCATTTTTAAGGATTCAGTTACAACTTTATCTGACCATTATATTGCATAATATTATTCATTATTGAAATGTTTAAATGTTTCGTTATAAATAAATCATTACTAGAATACATTATTTTTTGTAGTTGTTTGTAATTTGTAAAAGAAATTGTTTACTAACTACACTGATGTGTATAGAAAATGGTGTGTGACGAAAATAAATTTCATCGCGTTTGTAATGTCATTCTCTAATAATCGTATAATCTTGTTTTGTTTTAATTTTTTTTTTTATATCTTATACTTTTATTATTCATATAATAAAGTTTCTCATAGTGGAATCGATGAAATTGTTTATCAATTAAAGTATAGCTATAATCTAAATGTAAAAGAAAAAATTGATTGGTCTACTTGATTCAATATGTATTATCTTGATAGTAGGCGATTTGAAAACTGTGAGATCGCGATGACGGATGTCGATGAGCAACGGAAAATAGCAGAAGGTGCAGACGCCCTACTGAATCTTGCGGGAGTGACAACAACGCAACTTCGAGATCCTCTAATCCCGGACGAAGTCGCGGAGGAAGAGGACGAAGATAGTTTCTTTGGCAGTAACAAGAACACTCGGCCTTACATACCTGGCAGCGATCCATTGGAGATTAGTCCGACGACGAAGCGCCGATCCTCCGTATCATCCGCTGGCGGTGGACCCAACAAGCGACGCAAACGTCCTTGGCGAGATACGTGGAACGAGAATAGCAGGTATCTCAAGCAAGTACGAGGCTAAGTTACCGACGGAAGGTGTCAATAAAAAATTTAGCTCATGTTTAAGCATACCAAAGTCCAAGATACTAATCGGAGGCCTCCCAAATAATATGAGCGAGCGGCCGTAATTGGGAGTTACGTTGGAAAAGATGGAGAAATTCATTTCGTTAAGACTTATTATGTTAAGTCTGTAAACAGACGCAATTTTATTGCTAAAATATATGAGATATGATATTTTAGGTATAACCAACAAAATAGTACCTTAGGTATTCTATTTAATCGTCCACGTAAGGTGTATGATATTAGTATGAAATTAATAACAAATGGTTAACATTCGATCATAATAATTGAATTATTAAGCGATAATGATCATATCTGTATATCATCTCGTACTTTAACAAGATCATAATAATCACCTTTAAATTATTTTCTTCTCATATTCAGATAGTGATGTAATCGGCATTTTCTATTCATTTATCAGGAATATTCGAGTTCATTTTTATCTTAAAATATATTAAAAGTTTTAAATAAAATTTGATAGACCATCGTAACGTAGTAGTGTTACACGCGTTTGTTTAAGACGACGTATACACAGAGTTATTAGAAAATTTAAGATAAAAATCAATTTTAATGCATAGCGTTCTTGTAAAAATAATAGTTATGAAGTTTCTATCAATTTAATTTACTTACCAAATAGGGCACAGCATTGAACGTACTTCGCAAAAGAACAAGTGAATAATATTCTTATATATACTTTTTAGCAAACTCCATTAAATATAATGCTTTCAAATTTTGAAATCGTGAGTAAAAGTATATTTTTACATAAATATATAAGATTTCCTAAGATATTATTTATGTAGTATATGCAATTTGATGTAAATATAACGACTTATCTACTTTTTTTGAGATTCAGAGTATATAAAATGTTGATATTTCCATGAAGCCTGTAATTATTATTTAAGTAATCTGAGAAAGAAAAAATATTAATCTTATTCTCGATATCAAAACAATGCAACATATTTGATGGACCTTTGTGCGCGTATGTATATATATATCTATGTCAAATATTGCTTAGAGTTTGAAACTCTTGTAATGCCAAAATTAATTCAATTGCAGTAAATGTCAAGCAATAATAGAAAAGAAAACAGAGATGATGAAAATCTTTAAATTCATATGTGAATAGCAAAAGTAAGAGAATATATATATATATATATATATATATATATTGAAAATGGACTATATTAAGCAGTTACAAAGATGATAATTAAAGAAAACAAAGTTAACGATAACACGAAGCAAAGAAAAAGTAATATGGGGAGTATAGAGAGACCTTTAGCAAAATGTTGCAAGCAATCATATATAGAATTTTGATTCATATAGAGTTTAAATAACAATAACAGACTTTATTAGACTTTTTCTTGTAGATATTGTATAGAGATAAAAAAAAAATAAAACCTGATAATTATTCATTAGAAAAGTTTATAATATATTTGAAAAAAGATTATATACATATTATATATATTATATACATATATATAAAAGTTCATAACACACACGTACATATATATCGAATGCATTAATGAGAGGAAAACGCGAATGCTGAGCATGTCTCATCAGTAAATTTATTTATTTTACTTATAATTAATTGAATTTTTATTTACTGTTTTCATATTAAGAATTATAAAATATATAAAAAAAGGAAATGTATATAAATATATAAATATATAATTTATTATTGTATGTAATAAATTATAAAGTAAATAGTTCATTGCCAATGACAAATGGATTATTTGGTTAAGTTACGTTAAAGTAGAATAGTGCACGATTCATTTTTGAGAAAATTTAACTCGTGTACAGCGTGACTAAATAAAATAGAGTTACCAAAGATGAGACACTCTCGGCATTTTATTGGCTATATACGAACAATAAATAATTAAAAAGAAACGAAATATATATGTAAAATACGTAATATATTAAAGATGGGGGCTATGTATCTTATACAAATGTTTCAAGAGGAAATTCAAATTTTTCTCGACTTTTTCTACAAGTTTTTTTAGAAAATCAATTTTTAATCAGCTGTACATAATAGGCAATTGGCGAAAAGAAAATTCGAGAAAACTGTAAAATTGAAAATCATAAATCACGCGAAAAATTTAAAAATATAAGCTTTTTCGTTTTTAAGCATTCATTAATATCATTTATATTATGTTATTTATATATTAATTTATCTGTTGATGATATTTATTATTTATGTTTAAAGCTATTGCGCTGTTTTACAAAGTAGGATTTTTTTTTTTTTTTTTAATATTCTTATTAAAATACAGATAAATTTCATTTCATTAAGAAATATATCATTATATTTCGAATGTTAAAACAATAACAAATTTATGAAACTATTAATAATTAATATTTTTAAAGATCAAATGAAACTTTTATTTATTAGCTTTGAACAAGATGTTAATTAAAATAATCTTATTTTTCTTTTTAAATACGTTTGGTAAATGAAATTAATTGCTTAGATTTTATAGAAGTTCTATTTTTATTTAAATATTTAGATATAATAATTAGGTTTTATAGAAAATATTATTGTAATTTTAATTCAAGTAAGTTGAAAATATGTACAAAATACTTTAACTCGTTTATGTTTACAAAACTTTTATATGGATAAATATCGAAGATGAGGGAATAATATAGAGAATACGATAACTATTAAAATGCCAATTATGAGAAAAAAAGGTAAAAGTTGATACTGTTTTTGTTCTTACATAGGTTTTTATAATATTGTTTTTATTAAAAAGTATTGCCATCGAATGAAAAATGAATAAATAAAATTAACTATATTAAATAAATAATTTTTGTAATATCGTATTTTAAAATTGTAAAATTTCTTACAGAATGTAATTGTCTTTAGAATTACATTTCTACGAAACATTTGATTAAATAAGGATTTGTCGTTACTTTTATAATCATTATCCATTTGCGCTATCAATTATATTTTGTTGATTGATGTACAAAGTTGAATGTGTTTTAATGGTACGAATGAATTGACGAAAGACAAAAGAGAGAGAGCGAGAGAGAGAGAGAGAGAGAGAGAGAGAAATGAGTAATTATAATAAAATCGGCAATACATTTATATTTACGTACAAAATCACGTAAATTGATATTAATTTCACATTGAAAATGTAATATTTGAGAATTAATTAATTATTTAATATTTTTAGAAAAAGAAATGAGATTCTGCATTTATATGTCAAGACTGTTGCCAACTTGAGATATGACAGAATTCGAATTAGCGAGTTTCTTATTGATAATTGAAAAGAATGTTGGAGAAGGATTTTTTTATAAAATATAAGCCATTAATAATTGAATTTCGAGCTATAGGCGCTGTGTAAGTTCCGCAACATGTTCCTATCTTTGTTATACTAATCGATTGTCCTTATTTCTTTATGTAATAAATCAATTATTAAATACATTTAACTATATTAGATTCAAAAAGCATCTCGTTTTCGTATATTATCGATAATTTTGACATTTATTCGATATATGAAAATATTTTATTAGTTTCTCACTCGCTCACTCACTTACAGAGTTTTTTGATTATGTGAAAGTCTTTTCACGTATCTTTTAATTTAGACACGAACAATTTTATAATTTACATAAAGAAATTATTGGTAGACAAATATGTTCTTGCGTCTACACGAAAGTAAATGTAACAACGATGTATTTGATATACGTGAATTTTACTTTGTGGGTGATATAAGTTTCAATATGATAGTTGTTACATCGCTTGGCAGGAGATTCGGATTCGAGAAACAGAGTCATATTTGTTGCAAATTTTGCACTTGAAATCGAGAAATCTAACATTATTATCGTCATTAAGTTATTTATTAGTAATAACCTTGTGACTCTTTCTCTCTCTCTCTCTCTCTCTCTCTCTCTCTCTCTCTCTCTCTCTCTCTCTCTCTCTCTCTCTCTCTCTAAAATAGCTTACATATTTTTCGTATTATACTTGAACTAACTAAGTTGGCAGTAATATTCAATTGAGAATGGAAATCATGTGATTATTGGGAAAATTTGTTAATGCAAGCGAAGAAAGTCAGATTTACCAAATATAGAGTTCGGTCGAAAACAAAATTGTCAAAATTATTAAATGCATGTTATTTAAAATTGCGTGTATGTAGGTTGGCTATTTGAGAAATTACTAGAGAATTATCGATCTTGTTGAATCGTTGCTTTTGGTTGCTTTTCGGTAAAATAGTTTCCTTTTTATTCAAGCTGATGTACTTTAATATCGCACTCTATAATAAGTTTTTATTGGTAGAAAATGTAATAATGAAAATATTCACTTTTTCGCTATGTATCTAAAGATGACAGTATTTTATCATCGAGGTATATTTGAATTTAATATTATTAGCTATTTTTATTTTATTTATTTACCTTTTTTTTTTTTTTTTTTTTTTTTTTTTATTCACTATTACGAAATACAAAGATATCCATATTCTTTGGCGTAGCAATTCATTCGAAATGTGATAAAAAAAAGTTTTTTTTTTCTTTTTTCTTAACAAATTCAATAAGAAAGAGCGTACGGCTGAAATCGAAAAAGCTTATATGTTTGAGTTTATATATAAAACTATGTAAATGAGAGAAATAGGTAAAGTATATTTTTACAAGACCCAGAGTGCGTGATAATGGCTCTTCCTACTAGATTCTCATAATCACGGTAGCACCAACCATACGAATCCGGGGATTAAGCTTGCGGCACTTGTAATAATCAGCACGATTGGTTCAATGATAATTTTTTTATCCTATATTTTTCCTTTTTCGTTCTGCGACAATAGGATGGCACGTATATAAATAAAAACTCTTGATATTCATTCGCGCAGTGCACCGTAAACATTGGCATATGTATTTTCGCTCTTTATTATACATATGAATCGCTGTTTGTTAAAATAGTTAGAACATTACCATAGAGGTGTTCATGATTTATATCAAAATTTTAATAGACAATTGCAAACATTGAATTTCTCTTTAAATAATAATTTGTATATTGTTTATAGTTATAATCGCGACTCTAAGTAAGTTGATAAATATTTTTCTTATGACTAATATTAGTAGATGTTTACGTAAAAATATTATACTTGTTAGTTGCATTGAAAAAATGACTAATATGTTTCATAATATTTTTGTAAAGTGTGATTGAAATATGTAGAAAAAAATTTAAAAGAATTGTATTATGATAAACTCTAAAGGTTTATGTTAAATTTGTATAATTTTTATATCTTGTGTAAACAATTTAAATGAAACTATAATAAA